CATCTTGGCAAAAGGTTGCAGGATTATAATTTTTGAAACTTCTGGTAGTGACCTTGGTTATATTAGGTTTGTCCATTTTCAAATTTAAAGTGATCACTACAGGAAAGTGATCACTGATATCAGTACATATAACGTCACTCTTGCTAACCAAGTCATTGTTCGTAGTTAGTATCACGTCAAGGAGAGTGCTAGAATGGGCTGTAACTCGCGTAGGTTGAGAGATTAATTGAGTCAAATTAAAGGTATTGCAAAATTCTCTAAGTTTGGCTGATTCAACACAATCCGATAGCATGTTACAATTTAGGTCGCCAGCAATAAATATTTCTTTACCGACGGCCAATGCACTTGTAAGTGCAGGCGTCAAATCGTTCACGAAACAAGTCGGCTGACAATCTGGAGGGCGATACGCAACGCACACAATAATTGATTTTAATTTGGCATGCTGCACCGTGAGCCAAAGCTGATGGAATCCCGGTTCATTTATTTGGGACAGAGACTTCAATAATTTTGCCTTAAGACTATCACGCAAATAGACACACACGCCGCCTCCTTTCTTATATTTACGACCAAGTCTATATAACTTATATCCCGGAATGTCAATTACTCGGTTGGTTACTGACGAATTAAGCCACGTTTCAGATATTGTCAATATTGCAATATCATGTTGATGGGCAAACTCTACAGTCTGCATGAGGCTAACTCGATTCCTAAGCTAAAGCGATCTGACATTCAAGTGAGCAAGTTTTAATTTACCAATCTGTGACTTCTCCACCAAAGGTCGAGAAAGTGGTAGTAAGTTATGTGTTTGAACAGTTATACAATTATAAATGTTTCTCATACGCACAGGACGGACTATTTGGTTTATATGTCTAGATATACGGACAGGAATTCCAATGTTATTTAAATCCGGTCTGTTGAAAAACAAACTAGGTTTTGAATAATTAATCGAGCGTGACTTCTGTAACTCAGAGATATATTTCGACCTTACTTCTGGTCCTGGGTTTAAAGCCACATCCATATACATTGTAAGGTCCAAAACAAATGGTTTGGAAGGGAGAGCCAGGCATGTAGACCCACGTTTCGACTGCTTCACCAGGGCAAATTTGATTTTGAACTTTGAATACAATTGAGATCTCCGACATATTACATTGTGGCTGACATAGCGGCCAAACTGACGATTAGAGCTAGTTGAAAACTCCATATGTGATGATAATACATAACGATTCAGGTAGTAGAAACCTTTATCTACGTTACTGCCACTTTTGATAAACAAATTATTATCAGCATGAGGACATAATATGAAAAAACTCGGCAACAACCAACACCATGCCGCCATTGAAGTGCCTACTTCAAGATATGATTCGGATGGCAAGTGATGTGAATTTCAACAATTTAAACCAACATGTCGAATTTTTCACAAATCACATGGAAGGTCTTCCTAATCGTCTTGCTAGCTGTTATTCAGTTTACCGCTTCTTCGCACGAAAGGTAAAATGTATTCTGAAGCTATCGAGAATAACTGATTTGTTTGGGTAATAAATCTGAAGTGCCATATATTTTAGCTGCACTGTCCTATAGGCGTATTCAATGTGAAAAAACATATACTTTTATTTGAGATAAAATAAATCATGTATGAACATATAGTGCCTTTTCAAGTACCTTTTGTCCTGTTTCTATTAACAAGTTAAATTGCGATATGCTTCAGCAGAAATACTGCAACAATTGTTTCAGCATAACAAATTAAAAATCTGGGCTAAATTGCGTTGTCTAAACTGAGGTGCAGCCTACGAGTATTATATTAAACGTACTTTTATTTTTATTTTTAGCTTATTGATTTAGTAGATGATGGAATAGTGGTAAGCACCATTGACCTTGATGCTTACCTGAAAGATAAATTTATTCCATATGTGAAGGAAATCTATGCAGGATCTTCCAGTAATTGGGATAATATAAATTCATTTATGTCTGCTATCATTAATACCATCAAGGTGAAAGGAACAAGTATTGATTCGGTGAGTTCAAACTGCAATGCACAGCACATTATGAACATTCAACGTTCGTATTTGTTAAAGGAAATGTATTTTTCTATACTACCATTATTCATTTCCGAGGTCTTTCAGCTAAAAAGCAACGTGCGGCGGGCTACTCTCTTGTTCGTGCTTCAATTTCATGCTATCACAATTTGGGTCAAAGAGAATTTTTCACTGATTTCGTCAGTTACGTTTTATTATTTGTTTTGGATTTTTCTATTTTCAATAAACCTATTTTCTAAACAACATATTGAAGAAAATCAAGAAACTTTTAACACTAAAATGGAGTCAACGGACTGGGACAGACAGAAACTGTCAATGTTTATAGTGTCAATGTCAATGTGTTTTAACACGTAAAAACATGTATATACAGAAACGTTTTCATTTGACAACTGAAGAGAAAATAATACATGAATTAATTAATTTAATGACTCGTATTTCTTGCAAGAACGTTCTCGTTTTATCTCTCGTTTTCGGTTATATTTTAAACGCACCTGCACTACAGCGAAAACGTTAGTGCAAGTGGTTAATTTATTTATCAAAATTGTGGTAATGTGGGCACGCATTTTATATCTTGTCCGTTTTTACTCGTCTGCATGAAAAATGCAGACAGCGGAGGAATTCCAGTTATCAGTATGCCAAACTGGCCCCATTTTAGGATACTTGCTGTACTGTTATCCATGTCTCAAGTCTCAACTGTTTTCTAAGTAGTGTTGCCAATTTACCCGATTTCAGGTTTCTAGCTGGTTAAAACCTAAAGCTGTATGTCGACAATCCATTCATGGAGACACTGTCCACCTCGGCATATCGAAAATGAGAGATTTCCTGCTTAAAGAAGGTGTGACTGTTAACACTGTCTCCATTAAAGCTATTGTTAACAGAATTCCAGGAGCAAATACGAAGTTCTGTACCTGTTTTGTGGGGACCAACCAAGAGTCTTGTTGGAAAATACCAAGACAGGCGTTTGAAGCTGATGTTTTTCAACGCTTGGATGAACGTAAGTGAAAGTTGGTTATAGTGCATGATATGGTGTCGTTTTGAAAATAAATTTGAATTATAAATTTGCGAAAATAAATTTGCTACCCGACTAAAAATGGCTCTTATGAATTTGTTAGAAAAACAACAGTAAATTCCGCAAAACGACTCTGAAAGAAGATGAAAGAGTAAAATGTATTTGAATGATTACCTAATTTTCTTTTATTTTTGTTATAGTATTTTCACAGGAGGAAAACGAAGAAAGAACCGGAGAAGGAAATGCACCGACAGCGCAAGAGGATCCAGTCAACGAAGAAGTGGAGGCTTTGAAAATTGAGCTACGCACCACAAGTAGTTTAGTGGAAGATTTAAAGAAAAAACAAGAAGTAGAAATTAAAGCTTTGGAGGACAAATACACCGTCCAAATTCGTGATAAAGATGGGCAAATTTCCTCGTTAAAACGCCAGTTGAATGAGGCGTTAGAAAAACCCATAAGAGCAGAAACTGGAACGCAAACACCTTGTGGCGCTGCAACCACGACCAGTCCTGTTGTTAATACATTGAACACCTTGATGTCTGAAGGTACATGTACAAGTAATTTGCTATTTAATTATATTTTGAAGAGAATATGGTTTAATGGTTCAAGCCCATCCTATGTGATCCCATATACAAACGGGAACAGCACAAGTGTTCCAGAGAATCATTAAATCCGATAGCAAGTGATTGACTTGTTCATAAACTTATGTGCCACTCAATGACCAGGGGCCGATTGTATAAAAAAGTGATCGAAATTAACTATAGTTAGTGGAAACGTCATCCAATAAGAAGCGCCTATTTGAGAGTTAATCACTACATTTAACTACAAAATAGTGATTAAAAAAGTGATTAAGAGTTTTATACAGCCGGTCCCAGATAGTAAGATGAAAAAAGTATTGTAAATATATAAACTTTATTAAACACAGTTAAAGGGAATTTAAAAGGTTAACTTCGCATTATGACAATCAGTCTAGTTTGGCGTATGAAAATATGAAATTTTTAGTCCCATCTACTACTTTATCTCACTTGATTGAACTAATATTAAATGTTGAAGAGTTTTATGGATGGAAGTTATACTTGGAATTTCAATCTATACAAAATACTTCAACATTGATGCAAAAAATTCCTGAAACTTACCCAAACATATACCTTACCATGCATTGCATCACCTTAGTTTACATACATGAACTTGCAAATGCAGCTCAATAACTGGCCTCTATACATGAAGCACCGTAGTCGCACAGGGCCCCAGGTTCGATTTTTGCCAGGGGGTCTATAGTTGTTCAAGACGAGCATGAAGTTCGTACAAAACGTTGCGGGTATTTTCCAGGAAGAACGTTTACATGCCATTTATAACGTGATCAATGATCGCCTTAAAAAATTACGTCACTAAAGGCTGCTTTCCATTGTAGCGCTCACCTATGTGAAAAAATATTCAAATTTTGACAGTATTGACTTTGATTTTTACCTCTATCCTGATGAAGCTGCTTGCCTTTTATGTAATAGTGTGTAACCATTTCGTTTGCTAATATTTTTTATTTTTTCCCATTTAAGCATCCAGCCAAGCACCCGTTGTCGGATTAAGTTCGCGCCCAAGTGAATTGGTAGATGGACTGAGCCAGGCCTTTGAACCAACACACAACAAGAGACCTCGCAAACAACGGGAATTCTAGTGGTTTGTTTATTAAGGAAACGTACAGTAGTGCACTATTTATTCTTTCCTATTACTGTTAGTAAGGGGGTCACCTCCATTCTCAAATTGCCACGCAAAACGTCAAATTGACATTTTGGATGTGTATACAGTAGGTGGTTCAATAACACTATTCTGTGACATTTTCACGAATTTCACCTTGGGCTTCGCAAAAGGAATATTTTTAAAAAACGTACGTGTACTGTGTGACACGCTTGACGTTTTCAAGGCTAAGGGCTAAATAATAACGTCAATCTGGGGCCGGGTTGTACGAAGGCCGGATAGCGTTATCCACCGGATAGTGATTTTTTCAAGCTTTGTTAAATCAGTCGTTGATTTGTGTAACTCGTATTAAAGTTTAGTATTTATAAGTTAAATTTTTTTTATACTTCTTATGTCGTCTATATCCGTAGTTTCACAGTTTTTCAAGCATTTTTACAAAGGTTGATAAAATCACTATTCGGTGGATAGCGCTATCCGGCCTTCGTACAACTGGCCCCTGACGTTTTGCGGGCAACTTGAATATAGCTGTGGCCCTAAGAATCATTAGTCAGTAGTATACTGCACAGACTACAAAAACTTCAAATTGCTGTATTTCTTCTTTTATTGGACCAGGTACGTTTATTGTATCTTTACGCAATCAATATTTTATGGGTGTAAGTTGTTTTAAATGCCTGTTCGGGGCGATATAAGTAAATATACGATATAATGATGCTTAAGGTGAATCCAAGCAGTTTCTTGAAAAGTGGAAAAGACCATATGAGTAAATTTTTAATTACTACTTTTAGACTTTTAAAGGGGAAGTCAAGTCCGTAATGTAAACAAACGAACGGTTTGTTTACATTTTGAACAGCTGTATTTTTTAAAATATGATGTACTGTCTGAATATCTAACACCATTTTAGTTCGCTATATGCTTCTAAATGAATATGAAATAGACTTTATGTTCAGAAAAATTCGAAACATTCGAAATTTGGGCAATGTTCACATTAGAGGTCCTCACATTGTTATGAGCAGAACCGATGCGCAAAACGGACTTGACTTCTCCTTTAAGGTTAGGATTAGGGTTTGAATCAGGGAAAGGGTTAGGATTAGGATTAACCTTAGGATTAGAGTAAGGGTTAGGTTTTGGGTAAGGATTAGGGTTTAAAATACAAAAGAATACAAAGTTACAAAAGTCTAAAAATAGTAACTCCCACTATTTTTAAAAAATTCTGTAGATCCAAAATTTTTTTGTCAGGAATAAACACGTTTTTTCGATTTAAAAAATTTTGGATCGTTGTTTTCGAATGAAACTAGTTCAAATGCAAATTTGAAATATCACAGTTACGGAGTTTTCCGTTACAGTTTCTGATTCTCAAAATACTGTTTTATGCAAGACATCTGGTTTCACTCTTCTATAAACATATAAATGTACATAAATGTGTCTTTTCCACTTTTCAAGAAACTGTGTGGAGCCACCTTAAAAACAGGTCCAAGTTCAATTACATTATACTACAGTATAATATATATATATATATATAGCACAAACAAAAGGCTGTTCGCAACTATTCTAATTGATGTCTGAAGTGTAATGATCCTTGCTCAATTTGGGAAGGACAGGGTTCTTGTTTAATTTGTAGCATCTCTGAGTGTAAGCATTACGCCTTTTTATTGCACGATGCACGTAAAAAAAATGATGTAGTCGCGGCATTGCACAAACTATTTTTTTCATCCTACTTGCCCAAACAAACGTTTGCTCTGCTGCCATAGAGTTGAATTCTTTAGGCACTTTCCCATCTGGATCATAATATTTCTTGCATTTTGGGTCTTTGTGATTTCTCAGGTGAAGCCTGTCAATAACTTTACCAAGAAGCTTCCATGAAAGGTTTAGTGGTGCAGGAAGGGTTAGGTCCTGTCTACATATCTTCATGTTATCCACGTGGCACATATTGTCGTAGGACAGTATTGTTGATTCAATGGCCTTCGTGACCTCTTCATTATCCAAGCCATTTTCTATCATGGGCTTAAATTTTAACAAAAGCCAAGACATAAATATGACGAAGGCCTGAGTTGGAGATTCTGACCTTAATGGAAGAAAACTGAAAATTATTTTGAAATGTTTGTTGCAATAATACTGTGTTTAAAAATCCATTTGTACAAGGAGGGGGAGATCTGTAGATCTAGATAACGAAAGTACAGTGGTAACCTAGTAGCTGATGCAATATTGAGAAAACACAATGCAATTATTTTTCTCGTTGCTGGAGTGTTCCGAGATCTTCACTTATTCCAGTGTGTCACGTACACGATTTGTTACAATTATATGATAATTTGTAATGAATTAAAATTTATTTTGAAAACATTTTACGAGTTCAAACTAACCTGTACAAAGGCTGAAAGTACTCTATAATTCCACCTGCAGTAACGATCCACATTGAACCTCTGGACCAACTGTGTAGAGTCGTCTTTCCTCCAGTATCTTTGTTGCACTGTATGTCCTCTATCTGATCACTATTCGCACCATCAATAGCATTATGATACTTTTCAAGGAAGTCAGAAGTCCCTTAAAAATTATAAATTTTGTTGTGTACAATAACAAAAAATTCGTTAATTAACACGGTACATGTAAATCTTCACCCATCCAATGGCAGGTGAAATACGCGAAACACGAAAGAAGGAGATCTTCTGGTAAAATTTATTACAAACCTCAAAAGATTGGGTTCCGAATCTCAAGTCCGAACCTCGCATATAAAAAATTGTCAAACCGGTTTACGAAATTCTACACATTTATAACAAATAAATAATATAAATTTGGAATGCTAAATTTATAAGTTCTTGTACTGTAGATTTTTACTTTGTTTCTGCAAATAACAAATTACATTCAAGGTAAAGATTCTGAACTTTAAGCCTTCAAGGAGGGGGGCGAGTGTGATAAGGCCAAAAAAAAAAATGTGGGTTTCCGGTTTCCCGACCCTACCTAGCTTTTGGACGTCGAAATCCCGACCCTAAACTTTTTTATTGGATCATGCTTGTAAGTGTTTCCACTTAGAGGAAAAAGTTTGTGGAAAATTGAAATTTGAGGAAATATTAGGGAAATTTATCTTTGGATGTGGAAGCACTGAATAAACAAAATGGCGTCCGCTTGTTCGGAAAATTAAAAAAAAAGTTTAAAAAAAAAAGTTAAAACCGACCTACCCTACCTAAGTTTTTATAAGAAGAAACCGGAAACCCACATATTTTTTTTTTTGGCCTAAATACCAAATATTGAAAAAAATTTTGGCGTAAAATAGGTAATGAGACAAGTATTGGTGTAAGACATTGTGTAGCCTAAATAATTAGAGGACCACTATTCAAAATGGTTGTTATTTACTCCGACTCCTATGCCCGCTATGGTGAACTGCATATACGTAATAAACTATGGAAACAACGATTATAGGAACTAAAAAAGGCGAAACATTTTGTGGGATATACGAAAAAGGCGTGAGATTAAAAATGAGCAGGAAAGTATTAAAAAATTGGGGTCGCCCCTTGTCACATATTTTTCAGTTTCAGGCCGCCCCCAAAAGGGAAAAGGACAAAGGGGCAGCCACTCCATAGTTCTGACACCCCTGAGCACAATAAACAATTCCAAAAGAAACATTTGCATATATGCTCGTAAACTTGAGAATTGAAATTTTACCTTGATAGGTTGTAGCATTCACATTACTGGACTCTGCCAACTTGTCGAGCTGTTCCTCCATTTTGTCATGGCTTCGTAAAACCATTTCTATTACAAATATAAAAAAAACAGTGGAAATCCTAAAAACTATACACAACCACAACCCTGCGTTGCATTACAAATGATCGATCAATTAAAAAGTGACCCCCTCAGTTTAAAAACAATTAAATACGTCATGCATTGATGTCACTGGTGGGCCTGATGTTATTCTGTGTGTGTGCCGTGCAAGCTGAAGAAACGTTTTTGCCTGACGATGGTGGGAATCGAACCTGCAACCATTGGGATACTTGTCCAATAGTCTTATTTTGTTAGTTCAGTACAGCATGATACTAGTATTAAACTTCATGAATTATGTGTGATTTGTTTGTATACTGTACATACACTATTAGACATACAAGTAGTACACTACATACGTACTGTCAGTCTCACAGCAATCATTCTCATTTGACCCACATGACTTCAAAAATTCTCTCAAGTCCGTCTTAATTTGTTGTTTTTCTGCAACTTTCACATGGGCATCACAAAAGGCCTTTCCACGAACCGGTGTTAAAGGACAGACTGATGGATAATTAATCTTGCCAAATCCTTCAATCACAACTGGAACTTTCCACATACAATGCGCATATCTAAGTTTCCAATTGCCATCAGCCACGTATAGTGCACCACAACCTACAGGTAATAAATGCAAAAATTATAAACACTTAGGCCCGTTTCATACGCCGTACTTCACATGTGCCGAATACATTAAAAACAATAGGTAATGAGGCATTTCAGCTCATTATCTATTGTCTTTAATGTATTCGGCACATGTGAAGTACGGCGTATGAAACGGGCCTTAGTACTAAATACATAGAGCATGTAGACTCATTAATTTAACTCATTGAGTGGCAGCACTCTCCCATTGACCTGAAAATGATAAAATAGCTAGGGCAAATTAGGAGAGTGTAGCACTAGCTAGCCTTTGCACAGCACTAGCATGAATGCACATTGAAGCATGTATGCAACAAAAGTTAACCTTAAATGCACAATTAGTTACTGTCCCTTTGACAACTAAATCATGTGGTGGTAGCGAAAGTAAGATAATTATAGTGCTTTGCCCAGCATCCCTGGCTGCTGTGCAGCTTTTTGAATGAATAAGAGACATTCGTATATTAGCATTGTTTAAACTACTGTATTACAATGAATCTTGATGAGAAAAATCATCTTGTTATTAAATACAGTAGAGTAAAATAATTTGACTCGTTTCGAGCAAAGCCCCTTTTGTTGAGAGATTGGGCACTACTGTATATCTACGCTGTCACAGATATTTAAAACAAATAATCCGGCACTGGACAGAGTGAAGTAGGGTTCAATGGGATCCATTGCAGCTTAAGGATTAATAATTAATTGGATGAAAATGTAATCTATTATAATGTCTATAATTACTCCACAAATGAGTATTAATTTGCCATCATTGTCTATATAGCTACATTTTCAGGTACATTTTTCATATTATGTACTGAATATTACCTTTCTTTTTGCACAAGTCAGAGCAATCATGTGAATATATACTGTGACTGCGATGCTTATTTGCATATTCCATGGCATCATCATAGTTCCCACTCAAGCACCCGGCTGCATTAGGCACGAAAGTCCACTTTTCATCTATTCCCAAGTCTGAAAGTTCTTGGTTGACCTCTTCTTTCCAAAATGCTTTCGCTACCAATTTTGCGGTGATTTCACCAACATTATATGTTTCTTTAAAATTAGTAGAAAAATTCTTTTCACAATATTCTAGTATTGTCTAGTAATCTGCTCTTAGGCAAAACATTCCCTTAAATGAGGCAATTTGATTTATGTTGTTTTGAAACAAGTCTACATGCAAATGGAAAATAATTTAAATAAATTTCTCTGTGCCCATAATTTGCTATACATCCTGGATACTCATATAATACTAGATTTTAAATTTTAAATTTTGTATACTTTGCATCCGAAGCTCAGTAACCATTGGAATAGTAAACATATTCTGACTTCTTTCATAAACATACTGTATTGGAGAAGGATGTGATTATTATAACATCACATTTATTACAACTATGTCTAAAATTAACATGTATTACTAATACTAACTAGTTGTTAATAGAATTGAGTTGCATTTTTTACCCGTCTCATTCCTACCACTTGCTTCGGCAAGGATGTCTATTTGAGAGGAAGAACATAGCAGTTATGCATGTGGGTAACACTTAATCCACTGAGTGGCGGCAGTGCTCTCTTTAAGTAAAACTGTCTGGCATTAGACAGAGTAAAATAACAAAGTTGGGTTCATAATTTGGGCCTCAAAGCAACTCAATGGGTTAACATTGTGGGCAGATAGTCTTGATTAACCCATTGAGGGCCAGCTCTCTCCCCTTAGGGACCAGTCATTATTAATGCCGGGTAGGGGGCCGGAGGAAATTTAGAGGGGCCACAAAAAAATTTTGACCAGTAAAGGGGGGGGGGGGGCAGAAAATATTTTGAACATAAGGGGGGGGGGCAAAAAATAAAATCTGTGGAATAGTTTGTAACATGTAATATCAAAAGAGTAATGGATATATACAGTATACATACATACATTGAACAGTAATGCCCAGTATATTGAACCTAAAAGTTGTGTTCTAGCTACTGTATATGGACATTGTCATCCTCATCATCACCGTAGAATTTGTCTGAAGGGTCATGCACTGTATTTGCAAATGCAAGATTCAATTGACAGTTGTTGTCCTGTTTTATGCTTTTTAACACAGTGGACCTCTTTGGCATGTTCTGTTTCTGCATGTTGTTGACAGTCTCTTCTGCCATCTCTTCAAAATAATGCTTCCACCAGACACAAATGTTTTTTCAATTAGTAAAAGACTATGCCTAATGTGTGGGTTTTTTGTTTGAGGGCCAACAACTTTTCAGGTATAAAGTCTGAATTGTCTATTGTGTCTATTGTGAAACTAAAGTCACTCCTGTCCACCAGTTGGCTATCATTTTCAATATTTACAATATTCTTTACAGCTGCAAGTAAACTGAGTATGAGGGCAGGAAAAATGCTTACGAAACTGACTTAGAGTCATTTAATTCCGAATTGGGGGTGGGGGGAGGGAAGGGGGGGTGAAATATGTTGCCTCAATAAGGTGTGGGGGGGGGATAAAATGATTTTGTTAGAAAAATAAGGGGTCATGAAATATTTTTGCTATTCATAAAAATTTCCTCCGGCCCCCTACCCGGCCTTAATAATGACTTGTCCCTTAATTAACAAGTAAAATTGTCTGGCATTAGACAGAATTGGGTACATTGGGATGCAATGCAACTCAATGGGTTAATTTTTCATTTCTGGAAAAATTTTGGAGTAAAAATTCACATTTTATATGCATACATTACAATTTTGCTTATCGGCATACCTGACTCTCATACCAAGAACGACACATATGGGGTCTGGCCGCCAGTTGTCGCATCCTTTTTGATAGTTTAATAATTAGGCACATGCACTTATGTTCGGATACAAGCACAGGCGCCTTTATCTGCAGAGTGCTTATATGCAGGGTATTATGGTAATAGTTTTGAAAAGTGGCAACTGGTACTGTATAACCACAGGAAGCCCAGGCTCGATTTGCCCGCGCCCGCCTGTGCCTTCCTTATAACGAGGGAAGGAAGGAAACATTAAGACCAAAATAGCCCAGACTTGGCATTGGCAAATTATAGTTATAGTTACAGTTATATTTACAGTAACACATATAATCGACTTGTAGTAGACTTTATCAAAAAAATTTCGGTCAGTGTACCATTTTAGGGGTCAAAAAAATTTTCCGGACAACCATTCTTTTTCGGAACATAACACAAATTTTCGAAAAATCAAAAAATTTGCCAAAAAAATGACTTAATTTTAGACAAAATTTACAGAATTTGTCCCTTTTTTTTATTGCAAACCAAAATTGCCCGACTGTTGATCGAATATTGCCCGACTGCCCAAAAAACTGGGGGGGGGGGCTACCGCCCCCCCCCCCCCCCCCCGCCCGGTACGCCTATGACAGTACTGTTCCAAGTACTATCCCCCCTCCCAGTGGAGAAAAGTTTGAAATGTTTGTTGATTTTCGTTGTCCAATCAGGGTTGAGTGTATTTTGAGTTGTTCAACGACTTCCGCTTTTTGTCCAGCAAACCCGGCACGCGGATATATTTTGGCCGAATTTTGTTATTCCCTCACGGATTTCAGAGCCAATTTAAGCTCTTTCATTAAAGCATCGTTGTTTTGAGAGTTATACGGTATCATTCTTGCAGGGGATGTCGATTAACCGTGAAAGAAATGCATTAAAGCCGAAAAATCAAGGATAGTTTCGTGTGACATATGCCAAGTCTGGGCTATTTTGGTCTCAATGTTTCCTTCCTTCCCTCGTTATAAGGAAGGCACAGGCGGGCGCGGGCAAATCGAGCCTGGGCCTCCTGTGGTATAACCCCAAACAATAAACAGTTTCCTCACATTTCTTGGGGGCAACAAATAGGGTGTTAAAACATATACTATTGCTTTAACACTGAAAATATTTGTATCTTACTGAAAATATCACTTTTTGTAATGAATGAACAATTGTGAAGACAACAATTGTGTCATAAATATTATAACTTTCAAGTTTGTGACCGGTGATGCAGCAGCTCCTATTTATGCAATGTGTGAGAAGTTTACTTTGAAGTAATTTAATTTGTAATTGTTACAAACAGTCAAGACCCTTGCATTCAACGTACTGTAATAAGTAGAAAAGTACCTTCATCATTTATTAATGAGTCTTTCTCCTGTTCATTTCCCATTTTTACATCACTTTCTAAAGTTTGAAAGATTATTATATACTTACAATATATATTTCATTATTTAACGAATTAGATAAATATTAAAGCCAAGCATATGACTTTCAAACAAGACATAACAAAAAGAAAAAAATTTATTGCTGTATATATACATCACAACATCTGGCCGTTAGTCAGGTGTTTCCTTTCAAACTTTATAGATTATCGCTAGTTTACAAATTATTCGGGGGCAGGGGGGGGGCTGAATCCTCCCCAGTCCCCCCGGTTGATACAATCCTGAAGACCGAAGCAGAAACATGATGTTTAATAATGTGAGTATGAGCAAGAACACTGGGCATTGTGGAACCAGAACGTTCATTTCCCATCAAAGACGAGTGATATAAATCGCGTAGTGTTATAAATTTTGTCTAGAAACGATTTGATACACAGGTGTCCAACAGTGAAATGGGTAGCCATTATGAGAAAAGGTTTTCTTAAACCTTTCCATCTCAGAATCGAAAAATTTAAGAAAAGCATTTCGCTCATACTCACTTTACTAAACATGCTTCTGAATTCAAAATCCTTTCTTCGGAAAAAGATGTACTTATTCGTGAGGGCTTTTTAATATCCAAAATTAATCCAGTACTACAGTATTTAGTATTTACATGATTTGGTCAACTCCTCTTGACCTATTTTAATACATATATGTTATTTACCGGCTGCGAGGTCCGGATGAGAAAAACTGTGCCCGAGGTCTTGAAAACGGCCCGAGCCCGAAGGGCGAGGGACGTTTTCAAGACCGAGGGCACAGTTTTTCTCATCCGGACCGACGCTGCCGGTAAATAACGTGTTTATTTTTTATCAGATGTAAAAATTAAATTGATTAAAATTCCAGTGTTGCTTGCGAACTAATTTGAGATCAGTGCAGTTGTGTATTTTCAAAGCGAGGCTGACAAAAATTGAAAAGTTGAAAGATATAAAACACGAATACGAAAACTTGATAAAACTGGCAAGAAACACACAAAAAGACGTATAGTTTCAGTAAAGATGTACATGCTTTTTTCATAAATATGATAGCAGAGAAGCTTTGGAATAAAAACTTTTATACCTGGCGTTTTGGCTTTGCCTTTGGCTTTGACAAAATCAGTTGCTCCTGAGTCCTGACAACGACAGGTTCATGTTCAGTTCCGATCAAAAACATATAAAAATGAATCTGTTTTGATTTAACATCGTTTTTCTACTAAAAGGACAATGTAAAAGGTATGTTGTTTTTATATTTCTTCTCGTCTCAGGATAATATGCTTGAAAAAAGTGTTTTTAAACACAAACTTTTACTTTGTTTACAATATTTATATCAGTGAAAAATGCATGACACAAATGGGTAGAGAATATATTCGTAACTTGTTTTTACTGCTGCAGTTAAACCTTCTTTTAAATGGGAAAACATTTATTTTACAATTTCTGTTTAAGCTGTAATTTTTTCGCTTTTAAGTGGCCGAATACATGAGCATTTAAAAAATATGTAG